TAACTTGCCTAATGAATGACCCTCTTGTTATCTGTTTGATAACTGTTTATACAGATGCCTCCCAAATGCAGTAACATGCTTACCCATGAGAAAAAGAATTACATCTTGAATATAAAATTTAAGAGACATGCATATGAAGTGAAAAAAAATTACATAAGTTTTGTGAATAATTCAGCTAGTGATTGGGATGTTGCCCTTCACAATTGATTGGGTTTCTAGCTATAGGGAAATATGTGGGGTGCTTATTATCATCAAGATTCCTAAACTCTATGTAAAGGTCCCCTAGAGACTCGAAACAAGTGTGCATAGTGTACGTTGTACCGGTGAGTATTCTATTCTACTCGGAACCTTCCCATTCCTATAAAATGTGATGCTCAGATTATGAACGAGAAAGATGTCATTTCATAAAATGGGGGGAAAGCCACCATATGGATGATTCTCCTGCTTTCTTGATACTCCTCAATTTAGTGAATATGGTTGTGGAGTGTTTTCTTTTTTCTTTTTAGAGTATAATCACATATATTACATTTTATTTTTCAAAACACCACTATTTGTATTAATATCACTAACAATAATAATAATAAAATAACTACCAGTGACAGAGTTTTTGGTTTGAGGCCCTATTTACAGTTAGTGTTAAGTATTTGAGTGAACTTATTTATTATACCTCTGTGTTAGGCCGGTTACTGGAGAAACAAAACCAGTGACACCCATATATGCATAAGAAAGAACTTTATATCAAGAAATAATTGTATATCAAGAAAACATCCCAGCCCAGTCTACCTCAAGTCCATAGGTCTGATCCCAGTCCATAAATCCCTCTTCAGACTAACTCAGCCACACACAATGATGCAGAATGCAGGAAGTTCACAGGCCAGTGAGTGCAAAGTCCTGTGGATACAATGGGTATGGATGCACCACAGGGCTCTGGCAAAAACCAGGGTCAGACAGCAGGAAGGCGAATGAAGGCAGAAAGAGAAGGGGAGATTCCCAAGGTCCTACTTATGAGAAGGCCATGCCCACAAGGAGGCACCATCATACTGTGACCTGACTGACTGGCTGAATACCATCCTTACCCTTTTATATATCGTCAAGTTGACATGAAATTATGTAACTATCACCAACCCATAACCACCCAATAAAGTAGGTCCTATTATTAGATTACTTTTTCAGCAGCACAAATGATGACTCTTCACTTAGACCACACTGAGAGGTGTACACAAGAATCCAAGCGACTATATCTGTGGGAAGAGATGTTATTAACCAAAGACAGGGTTGGGCACAACAGCTGAATAAGCTGTCAATTAGTCATATTCAAGTTAAAGTTGAAGAAGAAAATTAAAACAAACCCAATAGAATCAAAGAGTGACCTTGAATATACCTTACTTCAACTTAGAGAGTATTGCATAAATTTATTTGATGCACTCAAAACTAATGAGCAGAGGAGGTGTGGAATGACATCAAGAACATTATACGTTAAAGAAGTAAAAGGTTCTTGGAAGTACAGGAAAGAGAAAAAGACTAACAAGGATCCCAGAAGAGATTGACACTTACTCTTGAGCACAGCATAGCTAAAGCGGTCAGTAAAAATGACGGAATAAAGGAGCAAAGTGAAGATCCCAAAGGGTGGCTTGAGGGCTCAAAATAAAGAATTGATAAAATGTCTGAGTTAGGTAGTTTATTGTGCAAACCTGGCCGATAAACACATGTGGGGTTAATTGAAGGGCAGAGGGATAAACAGCTCAGAGAGCCTCGCCTTTCGAGTTCTCAGGTCTCTTGCTTTGTGATGGTCGGACCAGAGTGCAGCTACCTTAGCCAGTTCCCTGCTTCAGCTGGCAAGGTTCACTTCCTGCAAGACATCCTCAAGGAGCAGCCACATGGACCAACCCCGATGCAGCCCTGCGTGCTGGAGCAGCCGTGTGGAGACCCCTGCCAGTGCTGAGATGCTTCCACATTCACTGATTTGGTTTTCCTCTTGCAGTCGACATCATTGTGTGTGTTTTGTGAGATGGCGGAGGACTTTTTGGATTGGTGTCAGAAATATGGGCTAATGTTGGACTTGCGGGCTTGGGCAGCACTGGGTTGGGATGTTTTCTTGATGTGCACTTACCCTTTATATTAAAAACTCTCTCGTATGCATGAGTTTCTGTGAATTTGTTTCTCTAATATACCCAGACCAACACAATGTCCAAAGACCTAGAGTAAAAGATTCAAAAGTGAATAACCTGGTAGATATTTCTCAAGCTGAAAGAACTGAAGAGAATCCAAGACTTGTATGGAAATATTATAGGGTTTTATGAGCAAAAACTTGAATTACACAGAAAGTATCAAAGATATGTAGAAAGAATGTACAGCCACTGAACCAAAAGAAATTATTAGTGTTCACTCAATTTAGAAGGCAGCATGTGCTCCAGGGTCACTGGGATTGAAGAAAGAGGTGGAGTAATGTGGAAGCCAGTGGTAATAAACAGCCTCCATGAATTGATAGAATATACATTCAGTTGCCTCAACAAACTGATACTTATTCGTGTCAAGACATTTGTAAACATACTTTTGCAGAGCCTGCACTTGGAGAAAAAGTCTACGTTTCAAATAGAACAGAGGATACACATAACTGAAAAATACTGTGTTGTTGTTGTTGTTGTTGTCAGGTGCCACTGAGTCAATACGACCCATAGCAACTCTATGCACAACAGCATGAAACAATGCTGGGCCTGTGCCATGCTCACAATTACTCCTAATTTGAGCCCCTTGTTGCAGCCACTGTGTCCATCCATCTCCAGGGACCTTCCTCTTTTTCACTGCCCCCAACTGTACCAAACATGAAGTCCTTCTCCCGGGACTACTAAGGAGTACTAAGGTTCTACTTCTTCCACGGTAGGTTTGTTCATCCACTCATTATGCCTTCAGCATCTGACAATGTTTTGAAGTTCTATATAAAGGTTTACAGTGGCTACTTTCTCCAAAGTGAGCAGCCAAACCCTTTTTCAGGTATTCTTAATCTGGAAGCTCAGCTGAAACCTGCTTTGTTTGGGTGACCCTGGTGGCAATTGAAATACCAGTGACACAGCTTCCAGCATGGCAGCAACACACAAGCCCCCCCAGTATGACAGACTAACAGACTGGTTGACATGCTGTGTTGACCGGGCTCTAATCCTTCCCTTTACTTATTTATTCTGTATGATTTAGTCTGTGAAATTTGATAATAGCTACATCAACCACTGGGCTATATAAAGAAGAAATAGCATTTGGAGGAAGACTCATTAACAACCTGTGATATGCAGATGACACAACCTCACTTGGCACAAGTAAAGAGGATGAAAATCAAGGTCTACAACCTCCAGTATGGAACACACCAGAGATTACACCATGGCTTACATCAAGAAAATGAAACTCCTCATAACTGGACCAATAAATATAATAATAAACAGGCAATGAAATAGCTGTCAGGAATTGCATTCTTTTCTTGAACAGTAAATCAATGTACATGGAAGCAGGTGTGTCAAGAAAGAAAATGACATGCTATATGGACAAATCTGCAAAACACCTCTTTAAAAGGTTAAAAAAATATAGCGTTCACGTTGATGA